CACTCACACACTCACACTCACACTCACAGTACACACTCACACACACACGGAGAACTTACATACACAAACACACACTCACACACACACACACTCACTCACACACTCACACTCACTCACACACTCACACTCACACTCACAGTACACACTCACACACTCACACACACACGGAGAACTTACATACACAAACACACACACACAATACACACACACACACACACCCCCCCCCACGTTAATGAGTACACAAACACACACACACACCCTCACACACTCACACACTCACACTCACACTCACAGTACACACTCACACACACACGGAGAACTTACATACACAAACACACACTCACACACACACACACACTCACTCACACACTCACACTCACACTCACAGTACACACTCACACACACACGGAGAACTTACATACACAAACACACACACACAATACACACACACACCCCCCCCACACGTTAATGAGTACACAAAACACACACCACACCCCCCCCCCACGTTAATGAGTACACAAACACACACACACGCACACACAGTACACAAACACACACACACACACACACACACACACACACACACACACGGTACACTTACACACACAGAGTACACACTCACACACTCACACACACACGGAGAACTTACATACACAAACACACAAAATCGAGAAGATGAAACTCTTCTGTACTAACTCATCAATTCATCCTAATTTGGCAGATAGAAACATACAGTGAAACAGGTGCTTGGAGAGAGTATGCTTGGAGACGAGGATTTTTGGTAATGACATACACATAAATTATACACACACAGAGAGACACACACACAGAAACACACACACACACACACACACACACGCAGACACACACACACACGCACAGAGTACTCCCATTGTTGAAACCCCAATTTTTTAAAATCGAAAACAACATGTGGGTAGGACTTCCAAGTTTTACAACATTGACATCCTAAATTCCCAAGTTCCATCTCATCTTATGAAAAGCCCAAATCCTAATTTCAATTTCACCTAAATATCAAAACCCTAATTTATTCAAGTGCAGATCTCTATGATTCAAAAATTATCAAACCCAAAACAATCAAATCACATAAAACTCAGTAAAATTACCATCTGCAACATAAATACATGCAATTAATAGAAGAATCGAAGTTTACCGTACAACTCAGATGAGGCGAGCAGATGCAGAGACAGGAAGACGCTCAGATGAGGGTGAGGAGGACGAAGATGAGAGAGCACGGCAACAAAGATGAGAGGGAACGTAGAGATGAGGACGAAGGGAAGACAGGACGAAGGGAAGGCAGAAACTCTCTCGGTTTGCTCTGGCTTACGAATCCGCTGGGTTTTGGGGTTGCTCGCGAAGACCACCTAAGGAGGTCCTTGGTCCAAGCGAGTCCGGGTTAAGCTCATTAAAGCTAATCCGGTTGCACACCAAACACAGGACTATAGTCTAGTCCAGTCCAAGCCTTGCTAATCCTGTCAAACAAACGTGCCCTTAGTGTAAAAATATCGATGTACTAAAAAAAGAAATTAAAATTCATATGTGAATCTAGCGATTTTATAAAATCCTTGTGATGTTTTGAGCCGATTGAACCATTATATATGCATCAATCACATTTTTGTGTGCGTATGATCTCACATTTTTGTGATGTTTTGAGCCGATTGAACCATTATATATCCGATTTTATAAAAAAAAAAAAAATCATTAACCACCGAAACTCACAATTCCACCATTTTAATTTTCAATTTCTAAATCTGACCATGACTAATAATACAGTCATTTTAATGTCTAAATGATTTTTTGTCAACAAAACTGTATGAAACTTTTGCATGTTGGTCCCGAGGCAATTTCTCGATCCGAGATGCTACCTAATATCTTAACTTGTAGTAACTCAAGTATAAGAATAGATTGTGCTTGGTTAATTTGCAATGGCAGGATTACATCCTCTATTTTCTTTAAGCACAACCATGTTTCAAACAATTTTGCTGATTTCTTGTAGAGATAGATTTTTGGTGGTTAACCATGATGAGTTCATTTAGCGCAATTACACTTGATGGGAAAACAAAACCGCAAAGTGAAGCATCACACACCAAGAAGTTTGCACTAATTAAAAGCTTTTTAATCTGTATTGCATATATATAAATTGATGAGCATGCAGATGCACAGAGTGGTAGGACCAAAATGTGGATCGTCGATCCAATCTACCCGTAAGTTAGTGGGACGATCCATAGAGGAGGAGTTTGACCATTTTTCAAAAATTGAGTTCCCTAAACTCTTAATTGATTTTTTTTCATTGGCATCAGCCATCTACAAGTGCGGAGCTATATAATTAGGCGCCCTTTCTTTGTGGTCACAATCTTAGGTTGTTGTTAACTTATTTATAGACAAACTCAAGTAGTCAATTGTAGTTGTGTATAAGGCTATCTCCAATCTCAAAACTAAAATCTAAAAGTTATGAATTTGTACTCGGCCTAAAATGTGGTATTGCAAACATTCAACAAAGTTAGAAGAGCCTAAATTATTATGAAGATTTAAAAAAAAAAAAAAGGAAAATGGTTACGTTAGGCTATCTTCAATGTAAATATTCAAAGTTGTAAGTTATATTTGACTCTAAATATGACGGTATAATTTATTCCATGTCATATGCATACAAAGTCATTCAAATTTAAACTTTTAAATTTAGCTCATATAGGAGGATTGTGTCAAATTTAGAGTCAAATATTGTTTTTCTGTATTTGAGAGATTAAGTGTCTAAGATTAAAGTTAACCTCCACTTTTAACTCTAAATTTCATGGCGTATTGGAGCTAACCTTATAGATGATTAGTGCCGACTAATTTGTATTGGCATTTGAAGAAAACTTTGGCATAAACCACCACAAGGTTGTTCAGTGGCTGTGGATGAATTTCAGACCCGTATATTCCACATAGCGCATCTTGGGTTCAATTCATGACGTTGGTGAATCGCACGATAATGACTAGGGAAAGCTAAAAGGTCTTTGTGAGTCTTCCCGTCTTCCGAAAATGTGGACTGCTGAGGCGTAACCATCTGTTGGTCCCCTTTTTAAAAAAAATAGAAGAAAACTCTGGCATAGAGAATCCATTTTAGGATAGAGTAATTACATAATAGTGATAATTATCAGTATAATGAATGATAGTGAAAATAAAAAAATAAAAAAAATTGATGCGGATAATCGAAGATGGAGGAAAAAACAAGATAATCACACAAACAAGAAGAGAGGCCAAAAAGGGAGTTAGTTTATAAGTCAATTAAGGGTGAATAAGCTCATGGCATGAGGCCTAATTACACACACACATACACACATTTGCATGATATATAAATATAAACAGCATAGTGTGTGTATATATAGGACAAAAGGAAGAAAAAGTTCTATCAATTTTCAGTTTTGACAAATGGCCCCAAAATAAAGTTCTATCAATTTTCAGTTTTGACAAATGGCCCCAAAATAAAGTAAGGACAACAGGTAGAGACTATAAGCGCTTGGAGACGGTCACAAAAATACCTAATCCAGCCGGCTCAACCCCTTCTATTCTCCCATCCCCGTAAATTGTAACCCCCCCCCCCCCCCCCCCCCCCCCCCCCCCCCCCCCCCCAAGTTCCAAGTTCCAATCCAACTTTCAATACTAACAGCAAATCCATAAGTGTTATTTATTTTTCATTTCATTTATAAATGGGAAATTTTGTTTGAACTCATACAACCTCTTTTTACACCCAACTTACTCTCTACACCTATATTATTTTTAATTAAATTATTAATATCTCTTTAAACACATACTTACTACCTAAACTACCCTCACAAACATAATTCAATATATAAATTTATTTTTACACCCATTTAAAAAATCAAAAAATCAAATCAGTGTTTTGAAAATCATTCTTAATCCTTCTTTTTTGCTGATTTTGCTCAATCCCATATCTGTTTTAATTAATCTTTCATCAATTGATTTTGCTTAATCCCATATAGATGATTAAAAAAAGGAGTTTTATCGAAAAGCCAATGGTACTGTTCACTTTAACGAAAAACCACATTTTTACATTAAAAAGTTAAACCTGGTACTATTCACTTTGCCCTTTATTTTGTCCTTATCATTAAAACTCAAAGTTTTCAAGTCTTTTTCATTAGTTTTCCTTAAAAAAAAATTAAAAAATTGAAATCCCATATGTTTTTATTTTATTTTTTGTTCAATCAGGATGCATTTTTTGCAAATGATCAAAATTGGATCATAAAATCCCTCCAATATTTAGTACAAAATCCAAAAGTTTCACATGGTCCATTGGATCATCTTTTCATTCATGTGATCTGAAGTTTGAAGAACCCTTGGTTTCTTTGAATCCATAAACAATAACATAAGCATCTAAAAACTCAGAAGTAACATCGAGCTAGTACAATCATAATATTGCTGCACTAAAGGCTTATGCATTTTCAGGGAAGATAAGCAACGTAATGAGAGTCTCGTAACTAGGAAAGAGAGAAACAAGGTCGGAGCGTTTTTGCCAACTCGAAGTCCTGGAACTGAAATGCAGGTGCACAAGTACATCCCACAAAAGAGTAGTGAGAGTCTCGGCATTCCTTGGAGCAGCTTTGAGCAATGCCCCATCTGGTGAAATGTTGTAGTCCTTTGTTGGAAAGGAACCAAATTAACCACACATTTGGAGGCACTGTGTACTGGGCAAGTAACTTGACTTTTTCATCTTGACCCAACTCCAGATTAAAACGCCAGGTTTCAGCCATCGGTATGCGATGAAAGCGCGACACGTTCCCAGATGGCAACAAGAAGTTGATTGATTATTGGTATATATGGGTGTACTGATAAATTTTAGTTTTATTGTTCATTTCATTTTGCACTTGACAGTAATTATGCAATAGGATAAGAGAGACAATTCATATTTAAAGTTTAAATTGAGGGTAAAAAGAGGTTATATGGGTTCAAATAAAATTTCTCTTTATAAATTTTCGTGCCAAGAAAATCATACCATTAATTAATTTTGTGCTCTCATCCTCCAATATATTAGCACTAGTATATCATTCCTTCCTTCCTTCTCATATGACCTAGTCACATCCCTGATCTCCCTCCCTCTCTTCTCTCCTTCTCTGTCTATTTTTCTCTCTTTGCTCTCTTTGGGTAAGAGAAAGAGAGAGAGAGCGCCAGTTTAATGGCGAAAACCTCACAGAAAAAGCAGAACAGTACTGCTGGAAGCACTAACGACAGCACCACCACCACAACCACCACTAGCAGTACTGCTACAACAACAACAAAAGGCAAGCGGACACAGAAAAGCGTTCGCCGTGACTCTCCGCCCCAGCGGAGCTCCGTCTACCGTGGTGTCACGAGGTTATATCATATTCATGGATACATGTTAGTTAAATTAATTGTATAGTTTCTACCATTTTCTTGCTTTTCTTGTTTGGAGTTAGCCGCCGGTTCTTGTTTCATTTCTGTTTTTAACTTAGGGTGATATATCACTGATCAATGTTGATTAATGTTTTTGAATTTAGGCATCGATGGACGGGTCGATTCGAAGCTCATTTGTGGGATAAGAATTGCTGGAATGAGTCGCAGAACAAGAAAGGAAGACAAGGTTCTTCATTAATCTCTTCTTTCCTTGATTTGGTTTTTAATTTTTTCCTCCTTAATTCTTTTTTGTTTTGGGGTTAACAATTTTCCTTTTCTTGTGTTTTTGGTTTCTTGGTGGTGATGATGATATTGATGGAATTAATCCCAACTCAAATGCAGTCTATCTAGGTCTGTCCCGATTTGAAAACAAGTTAATTTTCATATTTTTTTTATTACTGCGTCATTTTAATTCATAATTTGATTTATTGGTTGGGCAAGAAATGGATCAATTTAATTATACGTGGGATATTTCATTTTTCTTAGGGGCATATGATGACGAAGAAGCTGCTGGACGTGCTTATGACTTGGCAGCATTAAAGTACTGGGGACGAGATACAATCCTCAATTTCCCGGTATATTTTCCACCTTACTAAAACTGGATGGTGGATCGATCCATCTCTGGACTTTGATCAAAAACATTTTTTTTAATTAATTTGTGATATTATTAACATGTATATGAAATGGTATGTATCCACCTTAATTCTACATCTTTGATTAATTGTTGTAGTTATCCACTTATCAAGAAGAGCTCATAGAACTGGAGAGCCAGTCGAAAGAAGAATACATTGGATCATTGCGAAGGTGATAATTAATTAAACTTGTATCTCGTATCTACTTTGATAAATATATATAATAGAGCTTTTAAATTTTTATTAATTAACAGGAAAAGTAGTGGATTTTCCCGCGGGGTTTCAAAGTATAGAGGCGTGGCAAGGTACTTATATTTTGTTAATTTCATTAATTTTTTTCTACAAGCGATAAGATAATTTTATTAAATTCATCTTAACTACTGAGATGTGTGATTCAAACTTAGATGCATACAGTAGAACACCTTGTTTTAACTAACTTGATTAAATTTATATATTTTAATTCCAAGTTATTGCTTTAACGAAATGTTTCTTTCATACTAAAATAATTAAATGCAAGTCTATACAATTCATAAAAAGTTGAGATGTGGCTGTCGCAATGACACAATCTATATGCATATAATTCAAAGTTACCAAAAAGTTGACATGTGGCCGTCACAATCTATACGCATGTAGGGAGATATTGTACAACTGACCTTATACTTTATAGAGATAAATTTGGTTTTTAATTTCTTTGATTTAATTCATGTTTGCAGACACCATCAAAATGGAAGATGGGAAGCTCGAATTGGCAGAGTATATGGAAACAAATACCTTTACCTTGGAACCTACGGTAATTCCCACTTTTACCATTTAATGTTTTTATTACAAGCGATATTATTACTAAAAGTTATATTAAACGAAAAAATAAAAAAGAGTAAAATTTGAATACAGTGGTTTGAAGAGGAACGTTATATCCGTTTAGGACGATACACCACTGCCTTACCGTTTTGAATTCAAGTCTTCAGCAATAAATATGTTATTATTTTTTTCAAATGTCAATTAGAAATATATATATATATATATATATATATATATATATATATATAGGATATTTGTTAATAAAAAAAAAACCAAGAAAGCAAGATCTTTGGTTTGCCAAAATAACTTAACAAAGAATCTTTTTCTTTAACTTGTGGGTTAACCTAAATGGATTTGGATCTCATCCGGATCCAAATTGTGGGAATCCTAAAAAATCTCACATCTTAACCGTTCATTGTGTATCATACTGTCAGAAATCATTTGACTTTTTGTATTTAAAATTAAACACAAATAATAGTAACGAAAACTAATCGTAAGATATACAATGATCGGCTGAGATATAAAAATCCCTAGAATTCCCACAATGTGAATCCGGAAATGACCTTCTTTCAACCTAAATCTGGTTACAAGTTTAAAATGCCACATGGAAAGATGCGACTCGTCACACGTCATTGGTGTACTTCAACTACTAAAGTAAAGTTATGTAATTGAAAAATCTTTTCCCCATGAATTCCTAATAAAAAAACAACACAGGTGGTCCACTCCAAGATAATAGGGTAAAGAAAACAATAAAAATTACGCAATCAAAACCATTTAGTTGGTACGTAGATCACCTAACCTGAACTGCCCTTTCAAGATTTTTATTCATATTTTTTCGAAAATAATTTCCAGATCTTTCCACCAAAATTTGCTAGCAAATTAAATTTTTGTATTTTGTATTGCTACACCATTTCTCTTTTTGGAGAGAGAGAGGGGGGCTGTGTAAGCACAACATTTTTTACTTCTCACACACGACTTGTTAATTTATGTTCTTTAATTTTTTTTTTTCAATTCATTTAATCCGACAGCTCACTCTTAGAATGATGTGTGAAAAGTAAAAATAAGTGTACGGGTAGATAGCACACCCTTTCTTATGTACGTACAACCTTTGAATTTTATTGTTTACTCTCTATATTTTGGCAGCTACACAAGAAGAAGCAGCCATAGCATATGACATGGCAGCAATAGAGTACCGTGGACTTAATGCCGTTACAAACTTTGATCTTAGCCGTTACATCAAGTCTCTGTGCCCAGATAATACAAACGAGCCTAACGACGCTCAACAAAACCCTAACGGTGACCTCCATCAAATGCAAAACCCTAATGGTGTCCTCAATCAAATGCACAACCCTGACTATAAACCAGAACTGGAGATCATGCCTGACCACACGAGTTCGAGTAGCGCTAGTGAGTCAACCGTAGTTTTGCCACGGTCAGAAAATGGTTCATCGGCGTCATCCGCACTAGGGCTCTTGCTACAATCTCCTAAGTTTAAGGAAATGCTCGAGAGATCCTCTGTTACGGAATGCTCTCCAACTCTTTCAGAGCCGGAAATACGTAGACGCATTTTTCCCGATGACATTCAAACGTATTTTGATTGCCAAGACTTGAACAGCTTTGCGGAAGGAGACGACATTATTTTTGGTGACTTACGATCGTTTACTTCACCTGTTTTTCACTGTGAACTCGATGCATGAAGATGATCCGCAAAGAAAGTGGAAGACGTATACTATTATAGAATAAGATGAGTTTTATTTGGATGTTCCCGTGAATATGAAGGGACATCGTGTTCACTGACACAGTAGAAGACGGTAACTTTGAAAGTTTGCTATTTGTTGTTGTTCATTGGTCGATTTTCATGTAGATGGGAGTAGAAATTCATTTATCAAATATTTTCCTAATAAGATAAGTTCAAAAGTTGGCATTTAAGGGCTATTTACTTCATTTCTATTCTATATTATACCTGCATGTTGTGGTAGAAGTTTTAGCCATTTTCAGACGAAAACTTAAACAACAAACAACAAATAACACCTTTGATGATCAAAGAGATTAGGGCTTAAGTGCGTAGCATGTTGGAGCAATATTAGAAAATATGAAAAAATAACACAAGAATTTCAATTATATATGAGATTAATATAAACAATTAGGGAGAAAGTTAGAAATACTAACAAACTTGGAGATTGAGGCTTGCATAAATACAATGTCCTAAAGATAGAATTTCGCCCCTAGTCTTGTGCTTGTAGTTCGGTAGGCGTCCATCTCCCAAGATTCAACAATCTATAATCCGAAGTCAAAGCACTTCAATCTTCAGATTCTGGCGAACTTTATATATTTCGTACTCTCAAGACACAACTCGGAATTTGACACACGAAGCATGAGAGAAACAAAGTGGGGAAACCCTATTTCTCAAGAGTAAAAATTAACTCTAATTTTCTATATCTAATACCAATGGTTTCATGGGTTTATATAGAATCCAACTTCTATTTATTAAAGAGATGTAACTTTTCATCTATAAGTATACATTACTTATCAAGTATCACCTAAACAACATAACCTTTCTAAGAAATTGGTTAACACTATTTTTCATTCAATTATTAAAATTATATATTACAATATTTCATATTATAATATATAATTTCCAACAATCTCCCACATGACTGAAAAATCAAGAAGAATTTGAGAGTACAGGCGGACAAGAGATGCATCAGGAAAGGTGTCTTTTGGACTTGAACCTACCCTAGTGAATACTTATCGGATTTACTTGGTGACGCAGGGAATATAAAATCTTGAATTGTTCACCGCAGTAGTAAACCGAGACAATAAGCAACACACATCACTAATCCTAATATTCCAGTTCATACGGTTGTGTTCATTTTGGTCCTGAACAAATCCTGGATTCATGAGAGCTTTAGAGAATTTAGCCATCTCATTCTCATAGAAGCGACCCACTTCTACTCTCACATAGGTCACCACTGATTAAGAATAGTCTGCTCCATTCCTCTTATTTATAAGATATCACTGTCATTAAGTATAAATATACAACCTAAAACGTCTGCAGATAACACACTGCTTCCATCATAGGAATGAGGTATATAGTGTGTTAACTTCTTTGAATCATGCCCGACCAGTTTGCCTATTGAACTTAGACCATGAGATCTCCAATCAACTAAGTTAGGTTTCCACTCGCCTGATTCATTAGTTATGTTGGCTTTAGCCTCATTCCCCTCGATGATCAACTTACTCTCTATTCTAACCTTTAATAATTGGATCCACCACTAGGTTGACTATCATTAATGGTGTGCACAATCCATCTTATGAAATTATATTTCATACGAGAGTAGTTGTTTTCCAGTATTAAGTCCTCGAAACATATGTTTGGAAATTATATATTATAATATGAAATATTGTAATATATAATTTTAATAATTGAATGAAAAATAGTGTTAACCAATTTCTTAGAAAGGTTATGTTGTTTAGGTGATACTTGATAAGTGATGTATACTTATAGATGAAAAGTTACATCTCTTTAATAAATAGAAGTTGGATTCTATATAAACCCATGAAACCATTGGTATTAGATATAGAAAATTTTTACTCTTGAGAAATAGGGTTTCCCCACTTTGTTTCTCTCATGCTTCATGTGTCAAATTCCGAGTTGTGTCTTGAGAGTACGGAATATATAAAGTTCGCCAGAATCCGAAGATTGAAGTGCTTTGACTTAGGATTATAGATTGTTGAATCTTGGGAGATTGACGCCTACCGAACTACAAGCACAAGAGTAGGGGCGAAATTCTATCTTTAGGACATCGCATTTTTTTGGAAATGTGCCATAAAACCAATCATATGATGATACTTTACGGACATTTCACATGTTAAACTAATCTAGTTTAATATCAAGGGCAAAGATTATTGTTTTAAGCCGTCTCATATAAATGTTATATGCTTAAACGATAAGTCCAAGGAATATGTAATTAGGAGAATGTAATTTAAACAAGTTAGATTATGAGACTATTCTCTTTCGTATACATATCCTAAACGTTCCTGATCATAGGATTACCAATTGGGCATTGACAATCCGTTAAGATCAGTACATACTATGTCTTCTCTCAGGGAGAGTGACTGGTCTCGAGTCATTGGTGTGATTAACACCAAGACAAGCATGTAGATGCTCAATAGCGAATGAGTCTACTGAACACGATCAACGAGGAGTTCTCATACTCATGTCACATGAGAACTCATGGTTGGGATAATGCAAAGTAGTCATTTGACCTGAGGCATCATAGTTGTCTTGTGGTTAGGTCCTTGATCTTTGACTATGTCAAAGTCACTCCATCCGAGGGTGTCCACGACATAGTTGGGATTAAGCCACTTAGCCATGGAGGCAAGTGAATGCGCAACAAGGGATCTCTAACCTTCAAACCGTTTGAGGGAGAATACTCTATGATATAATTAAGAATCTCTGGCCAGAGTATGAATGAGATTTAGGAAGTCGTTCCAAATCACATTCAAGGTAATCATATAAGTAAATGAATCACATTGGATAGTAGACATGATTAAACTATCAAACCAAACAATGCGATCAAGAGTATTGTATTAGAGAAAGACCGTATTGCATTGTAATCCTAAACTGAATAGGTTCTCCACCTCTTCTGATTAGCTTGGGTAACCATGACATACTGCTAGGTGTCACTCTTGGTTTGTGGAAGCCCTAAACGTGTATAATCACCAAAAGGGAGAATTGAAAGTAAGTTTCAATTCACAATCGATTTGAAAGAGTTCTAATCGCCCACTGCCTCGCTAAAAGGAACCTAATGGATCGTACACCGTGTAAGGTAGAGATTGAAGAAACAATGGAGATGAGTAAGGATAATTAAATGGTTTAATTATTTATGGCAAGGATTAATTAATATGTTAATTAATCAAACGAATAAAGTTTGCTAAAGACCTCGGGTTAGTTTTGGGCCGCAAGGCCCAATGGGATTTGAATGTCAAGCCCATTAACTCAAGTTGTATGAAAACTTGAAAACACAAAGGGCATGAAAGCCCAATGAACCCTTAATGGCCGGCCATATAGAAAGGGGTATTGAACTTGGCTTAATTGCAAGTTTGCCACTCCATTGTGAGGTGGTATAAAGGCAACTTTATAAACATTTCATCCTTAGGGTTTTCTTTTGGGGAAAGGATGAGAACACAATGCTCTCCTTTTCTCTCTAAGAGGTCGGCCCCCTTGGAAGAGATTAGCTAGCAATCTCTCATCCTCTAAGGTCACTCATCTCTTTTTCAAGTCCCTCCTTGGTGTGGAAAAATTAGAGGTTTTCAATTTTGGGAACTTGGAGAATCCTTTCTACCATCCTCCTCCAAGAAATCGATGGAACTAAGAAGCAAGGAATGAAGGCCCTCTCCTTGGGTGATTAGCCTTTGCTTATGCAAATAGGAATCAACAAAGGTATAAAATATCTCAACTCACTTTGTTCTTGAGTTGAGTCTTGATTCACCTTTCTACTAGGCTTTGAATTTCATGGGTAATGTTTTGTTTTTGAGTGCATACAAACATGATTCCGCCTTTAAATGTTAATTGCATGCCATAGATGTTGCTCAAATGAACATGTTTTTCACAAAATCTCCTTCACATTTATGCAAGCCTCAATCTCCAAGTTTGTTAGTTTTTCTAAATTTCTCCCTAGTTGTTTGTATTAATCTCAAATATAATTGAAGTTCTTGTGTTATTTTTTCATATTTTCTAATATTGCTCCAACAATCTAAAGATAGAAATCTACTTATGCAATAATTAATAAATATGAATGTGAAGAAGGTGTTAAGAACATTGAAGTAATAACCCTAAAACCTAATTCAAAGACACTATGGTTTTCTACGGAAAAAGGCATGTCATGGAGGGACTAATTTTTATTTGCTTATTGATATATAACATAATCTTTGATGTTGGCGTTCAAATTGTATTGTTAAATGCATGATACAATTCAAATATATTCATCTATATATGCACATGAGCAATGTTTGCTTGTTGATTCAATCTGTGACTTTAAACGTGTTGGGCAACATATAGTGTTGTATTTGATGTGTAGCCTAGCCCCTTTATGCTAACAGGGTTTGTATAAATTGATGCAATTAAGACTTTAATCTCTATGATTTTAGTCGTGATGACTAGGGTTAGATGATGCTTTGGAATTATCCATGGGGAGCGGTGTCCATGCAACCGCCTGTTTCTTTGAAAGGACAAAAAATTCAAAAGTAAAAATTTCTGGGCAAATGCAACACTTGACGAAAAGGTGTTAGCAGTTTGTATGGGAATTGTTTAGGTGTTTTGGACAACAAAAAGGTTCTTGGAAACAGAATTCCAAGCCAAATGGTTAATTTGCACATAGTTTCTTATGCATGTTTGTCCTCTCTCTCTCTCTGAAACAATGATATATTTGAATAATCGATTGCAATCTTTCCATGTTAATATATGAAAAGGTGGGACACCTGTTCTGAAAGTCTTTATTTCGGAAGTTGTGTTCCTTGGAAGGCATGCAAACATGGCTTGTGAAATCAGTCTGATATTTTGTTTCAAAATTTGGAAAATATCTCAGCTGCGTAAGTGCGGTTGGGAAACCTGCATCGATTTCTGGAAGTTTTTGGTTTTCCAGAAGAGTTTGTCCGTCATAATTGCAAACCAAAAGATATTTCTAAGAAAAATGAAGGACATACGTGGAAATGTCAAAGTCTGAGTAACTCTTTACGAAGGGTTGTTTTCATTGGCCGGTTAATTGTGTTTCTTGAATAATAACTTTTCAGATCAAAGTTATGACATAAATTTGATGCGCGAATGCCTGGGAACGATCTCTAAATTTCGGAACGGTACATTACCAATATGTATGTTTACTAAAATCAGACATGGCTACCATCTGAATGGACTTCTCCATTTGCGGTGGCAGCATATCGAA